GCGACGACACTTCCATGACCAAGACAGTCACCCCCTGAGGAAGGGACCGAGTCGGTCTCGAAACGTCGGGCTCTTTTTGAACTGTGACTGGAGCAATTTCAATTTTCTAGACTTTTCTACCCAGCCAGACAGATTGCTGTCAAAATGTTTACGTTTAAGTCATTACGCAGTGACTTCGGTCAGGAAGCAGCGCTCCTCGCAAAGTGGTACGTGAACGTAGCACGCGGCGTCATGACCTACCGCAACCATCTCGACTTCACGAGGACCTGTCGGGAGAGGAACGTGATACCACGAAGCCTTCAGCTCAAGCGCCTGGTGCACACGGCGGAGGGCAACAAGATCATCGCACAAGCTGAACGGCGGCTACTAAACGCCCGAATCCATGAGTGCCACAGCGTCATCAAGAAGGAGGAATTAGACCTGTTCTTTCTACGACGGCAACTTCAACATCGACTGCCCGACATCTTTCCGTCACTGGAGGAGTTCGCACGAAATGTGGCTGCAACAACAGCGCAGAAACAACAAGCGACCCACAAAAGTAAGCTTGCGACGCTTCAAGGCGAAAAACACCACTACAGTCCTGACAACGAGAATTTCGTCGTCAATCTGTCCTCCAAACAACTCTCCCCGACAGAGCACAGCGTGCTGGCAAAGGGACACAACTTCAACACGACCACGACACGTCCGTCACTGCCGAAGATCATCGCGGCTACGGAGGAAGGCATAAGGCGACTCGACAGCGGCATTCGGGAGAACGTGCGTCTCAAGGCTATCGGCGTACTATCAAAAATAGGAAAGCGCCGTGAGCACAACCTGTCGAGAGAGGAGTGTAAGGCGATCCATGCGCTCCGAAATGATGATAAGGTTGTCATCCTCCCGGCCGACAAAGGGAACGCAATGGTCCTGCTCGACAGGGAGGCATACAACGACAAAGTGCGAGACCTGCTGGACAGTCCGGCCTACGAAAAGCTGACGAAGGACCCCACACCCAGTGTCCAAAGGGAAATGAACAAGCTCCTGGCGGATATCTTTAAAGCGCACCCGAAGGCGAGAAACACATACCTCCAGCTCATCTGCCGGAACGGCTCTGCACCAGGATTTTACGGGCTTCCCAAGACCCACAAGCCCACAGTTCCGCTCCGTCCTATCGTGAATTTTACATCTCCACTCCCGGCGCTGTCCAAGTATCTCCACCGGACTCTCGCGCCGCTCGTGGGGCAAACACCAACCCACATACGCGACGCCAGCCACTTCTTGGAGCGCATGAGAGATGTGACCGTGAGCAGCGATGAGTGCTTCGTCTCGTTCGACGTCGTATCCCTGTTCACCAGTGTGCCTGTAGCACTAGCGGTATCTAGCATACGAGCAGCGTTGAACCAAGACGAGCTCTTGGATGAAAGAACCTGTATGGGCGTCGACGAACTGTGTCGCCTACTGGAATACTGCCTCAAGGGGACGTATTTCAGCGTCAACGGGAGCTTCTACAGACAAGCCAGCGGGACCGCGATGGGAGCGGCGATCTCCGTTACGGTTGCGAACCTCACAATGGAACACATAGAAGAGACGGCACTGGGCTCCTTTATTGACAGGCCGAAAGTATTTGTGAGGTACGTGGATGACTGTTTTTGCATAATAAAGAAGGCAGCAGTAGACAGCATCCTCGAACATCTAAACTCCATCGACCAAGCGATACAGTTCACGGTGGAACGAGAGCGAGACGGGGCGCTTCCGTTTCTCGATGTTTTAGTCAGACGACAGGGCGAGCGCATGACCTTTTCGGTGTATAGAAAGCCAACTCACACCGGCAGGTATTTGCATTTTTCGTCCTGTCATCCAACTGCCCACAAAGCTTCAGTGGTTTCGGCACTCCTTTCACGTGCACGAGTAATCTGCACGTCGGAAGGTGAGAGGAAGAAAGAAGAAAAGAGGATTGTCGCCGAGCTACGAAGGAATGGCTACACAGAAGCGTTCATCCGCCGGGCGTCACGCCGTTTGTCGAGACGACAACCACCGCACCGCGGAAAGACACCTGCAAGCGACACACCGCCCGACCCCCTTTCCGCCCTGGCCACACCACCGCACACGAGAGAAACGAAGACGCCAAACAACCGCGTCGCCATTCCATATGTGCCGGGCATAAGTGAACAGCTCTCGAGAGTCCTAGGAAAAGCCGGGGTCACGGTAATCCATAAACCTGTTTCGACGCTCGCTCGCTTGCTACCGCGGCCGAAAGACCGACCTCCGAGGGAGCTACACCCGGGCGTTGTCTACAAAGTGTTGTGTTCTGGGTGTCCAGCCAGCTACATAGGCGAGAGCAAGTGTTTCCCGGAAAGAATGCGCCAACACAAGAACGACGTCAGGAAGATGGAAGTGCAACGTAGCGCTCTGGCGGAGCACTGCGAGAAGCACGACCATAAAATTGACTTAGACGGCGCTTCTGTTATTGAAACAGAACGGAATTTGGGAAAGAGGCTCTTGCTCGAGTCTTGGCACATTCAGCATACGCCTGCCAACGTGAACCGCTCGCTGGGAACAATGCCTTCGGTGTACGTTCACGGTCTCCGAAGCGTGGTGGAAAGGGAAAGCCGGAGCCGTGGTGAGAGAACACGACCCGACGACACTTCCATGACCAAGACAGTCACCCCCTGAGGAAGGGACCGAGTCGGTCTCGAAACGTCGGGCTCTTTTTGAACTGTGGCTGGAGCAATTTCAATTTTCTAAACTCTCCAAAGCTTTTCTGACTTTTTCTATCATTACTGGTGGGGTGTCATCTGGGTTACTGCTAGTTTTTATTGTATTAAACTCGTGGTTGTCCCGGCTACTGTAAAGATCTCTGTAAAACTTCTCCGCTATTTCAACTATCCTATCCATATTGGTAGTTATTTTGCCTTCTTTGTCCCTTAGTGCATACATCCAATTTTCGCCTATCCCAAGTTTTCTCTTCACTGCTTTGACGCTTCCTCCGTGTTTCAGATCGTGTTTAATTCTCTCCATGTTATACCTTCTTACATCGGATACTTTACGATTATAAATCAACTTCGAAAGCTCTGCCAGTTCTATTTTGTTTGTTGTACTTAAGACTTTCATGATTTGACGCTTTTTAATGAGATTCTTCGTTTCCTGGGAAAGCTTGCCAGTGTCCTTTCTAACTACCCTGCCTCCAACTTCCACGGCACACTCCGTAATGATACTCGTCAGATTATCATTCATTGTATCTATGCTAAAGTTAGTTTCCTCACTAAGAGCCGAGTACCGGTTCTGAAGCGAGACACTGAATTCCTGTACTTTCCCTCTCAGTGCCACCTCATTGATTGGCTTCTTGCGTATCAGTTTCTGTCGTTCCTTGCTCAAGTCTAGGCGAATTCGAGACCCTGTCAATCCTTGATCACTGCATCGTACCTTGTCAATTACTTCCACATCCTGCACGATGCCTGGGTCTATTTCGTTCTTATTTTCGCCATTAGGGCTCTTTAATGTCCACTTTCGGTTTCCTCGTTTTCGGTAGAAGGTATTCAAAATCAGAAAATATCACGTTCTGCGAATTCTACTAGTAGCTCTCCTCTGGCGTTTCTAGTACCGATTCCATAGTCTCCTACTGCCTGGTCTCCAGCCTGCTTCTTCCCTACCTTTGCATTAAAGTCTCCCATCAGTATAGTATATTGTGTTTTTACCTTACTCATTGCCAATTCCACGTCTTCATAGAATCTTTCAACTGAAGCGTCATCATGGCTGGATGTAGGTGCGTAAGCCTGTACCACCTTCATCTTGTATGCTTTATTCAGTTTATTTACAATACGTACCACCCTTTCAATAATGCTATAGTATTCCTCTATGTTGCCAGCTATGTTTCTGTGAGTTAAGAACCCAACTCCCAGTTCTCTTCTGTCAGCCAAGTCCCTATAGCAAAGGACGTGCCCATTCTGTAGCACCGTATAAGCCTTATCTGTCCTCCTAACCTCACTGAGCCCTATTGCGTCCCATTTAACACCCTCTAGCTCCTCGAATAGTACCACTAGACTTCCCTCACTAGATAAGGTTCTAGTGTTAAACGTTGCCAAGCTGAGGTTCCAATGGCAGCCTGTCCGGATCCAGAGATTCTTAGCACCCTCTGCTGCATTGCAGATCTGACCGCCGCCGTGGTCAGTTGCTTCGCAGCTGCTAGGGACTGAGGGCCGTGAGTTATTTGACGTATGCATGTGGGAGGTAGTGGCCAGATACTGCACCAAGGTGGCCAATCCTTCTCTGGTGAGGGAGTGCGTTCCCGGCGGTGGTTACTGGTGAGGCCGCACCCCAGGCCTCTTAACGCAGTTCCATCACCACGCGGATTTTTTTATCCGGTTGGGAACTGCGTGGCACCAGGATATGAACCACGGACATTTTGCAGGCGAGGCGGATGCTCTAACCACTACGCCATGCAGGGATCAAGGACATTTGCGACGGCCTAGACATTAGACCACAATAATACTCCATCTTGGAGAAGTGTTTAGCCTCACCCCCTTTTTTTTGTATAACACACTGTGAAGAACTCACGCTCTGTTAGCCATTGAGTGTTTATCAGTAACGCTTGAGCGCTCATTGTCGCCATGTGATTGTATTTTTGTTTGCTTCATTTTGTCTTTATTACGTAAATGCTTTGATAAACACCTTGGAAGAAACAAAGGTCAGGCTGTGTGGTACAACACCTGTTTACAACGTGACTGACCCTGTTTTGATCGCCACTGGCACCCTGGATTTCTTTATATGCATCTTTCTCAATTTTTCGATCACGCAAAGATGACAATTTTTCGCTAACAACCAACAACGCCGATGCCGAAATTTTTGCGAAACAAACTCTCTAACGCTATCGCGTTAAAACGGCATTCATTCATCTCTCTGTCTGTGTACGTTCACACTAGCGCCACCTGCTGAGTGAGTCATAAACCCCATGACAGAGAGACAAGCATGTATAGGCCCACAGCTTCAGGGGCTTCGCTCCTAGTAAAGGAAAGAATACTTCGTACCTGAGCCGTGAGAATGCCTTCCCGAGGCATCCCTGGAAGGGTATGTAGAGGAGAATGAATGAGATTCCCGCTATGCAGCTGATGCCGAGATGCTGCCACAACACCCACGTTATGACGGCTGTCTGCAGTGGACCCGCAACCAAGTACGGCACGAAAAGCACTGACTGCGCACACAAAGCAAAAGAAACAGGGTAAGCAACGATCCCTTTCGAAATGACATCACAAGCATAGGATCAAACAAGCATCCAATTTAGAATGTAGACAAATTATTCAAGATGTGCATATTTACTTTAGAAGCGTAGCACAAATTTTTGTCTTGAAGGTTTCAACTCTCCTGTACGCATGCACAATCAGCGTCAAACGTTTACAGACCACTATGCTTAAGAAAACTTTGACATGTCCAATACTGTTTACTGTATGCTGACATGTGCATGTTGCCACGCGTTTGAGAATGAGCTATGGATTCAATAGAAGTTCAAGACCTGCCGAACAAGCGGATATATCCAGCTTCTTGTGTTCCGTGCCCCTTCGTACAGCGGGCTGTAGATGAGCATGGTACCACGTGTCTGTGTATTTTGCATGCAAACACAAAAGGAATATTGGATGAGTAGGAGGGGTTCAACAAAAAACAGTCCCCTTCATATGGCTGCCCTATCTAGTGACGTGCTGCTTTGTTCCCCCGAAGCCAGGAAGAGAAACCACAGAAAATTTCGCAGAGTTTTATATATATTCATCGAAAAATAATCGAAATCAAAAGCCATCTTTTACTTCTCAGTGGATGTATCGACATGGTCGCTTCAGAAATAAAAAAAATGAAAAGGTGCGGCCTGTTACATGGCACTAAAATGGCATGTCACTCTTGGTTATTCGTGCGTTCGCCGTCACAGGGTGTCGGGGGATCATATCTGATAGGTCCAATTTATAGCGTCGGGGCATATCTCCATTTTCGCGCTAGGAGTGGAAACCTAGCGCACCACTCTACGTCGTTTTATATATGTTTTTGTGGAGCAATCGACAAGGAAATCCTCTTCCCCTGACGAAAACCCGAGCTGTGACGACGGTTCTACGGGGCTTTTGAAGCCTGTTTGAATGATGCCTAGTTCTGGCTCAGGGATGGACAAGTGCCATTTCCTCGGAGAAGAAAAGCGGGTATACTGTATAAGTGCTACATAAGCACGAATTGGCTAGACACCGACAGGAAGCGAAGTGGAACGTCCAGCTGCAGTTACTGGCTTTAAACTGGACAGTAGTCGGCAGACTTTTATTCTCTTGTCAAAAAAACTACGTCAAAAAGGCGCCTAGGTAAATCCCAATTTATTCATCAGTAACAGCTAGGAAGCATAAGCAACGGCGAATCTTGTTCAGTGGCTCAAGACGCACCATCCAAACTTGAGAGTATGGCGGCGACAGTGCTCGACCTGATGCTGTGGCGTGTAAAAATTTCGATGTAAATATTTTTATTTGCACTGTTATATAGACAGAGCGAGATATTACCCAACGAGGAGTATGCAGCAGGATAAAACATTGCGGGGGGAGGGGGTGAGGCTGACTAAAATTTGAGAAAGTTAGTTCATTACGCCTACTGACAAGAAGTAATATGTACACCATATCATGCTTATTGCTAGCTTCATTTAACTTACTGAAGGTATTCAGCGGTTTTCATCACGCATATACATAATAGAAGGCTGCTTGACGCGTCAGGGACAGAAACCCAAAATTGTGTAAAAATTGTTCCTCGCGCTCAGGATTTTGCCGTCTTTATAGGCGGTTTCAATTCACAAAAATACTATTTTTCTTAAAGCAGCTTGCTGGGCTACTTAGAATAGTGAACATTGATCTATTTTCAGGGGCTAGGTAGAAAAAAAAAACACTGGTTGATGCCACCTCCTGTGAGAACCGGTGAAGCACGAATGAGGAAGGTAATTCTGAATCGTCATATGAAAATCAGCACCACTTTACGAGGCGGCCGTAAATTACAGCGTACATACCTTCCATATCTTCATTATCATGTTTGCGCCTGGCATTTGAGCTCGTCGTCAGTTACAAATACCAAATTTGGTAAATTCATAGCTATCAAAACGGCCGCGTGTGCGCTATGGGCATGTAGGCATGTTTTACGTGACATGCATATCATGGTTATCATGTTTGGACGTGTCATATATCTTCCTTCACGTAATACAAAATTTGGTATATGGGAAACTAGTGAAACAGCCATGAGCTCATCATGAACGTGGTAAGTAGTCATATTGTTAGATGACACGCAGATTATGATTATCGTGTTTGCACCAGTCATACACTTTCGTCATCCACTCACATCACGTAACGCCAAGTTGGGCATATTTGGAGCAAGTGAAGTGGCCGCAGGCGTACTATGAGCGTAGCATGTCGTCGTGTCTTACACGACACGCATGTCATCATTATCATGATTGGGCGTGTCATTTATCTTCGCCATCCACTTGCGTGTTGTAATACGATATGTGGTATATGTGAAGCCAGCGAAATGACTGCGAGCGCATCATGAGAAAGTTTTGTAGTCATGCTCTTACATTATACACATGTGATGCTTATCACGTTTACACCTGTAATATAATTTCGTCATCCAATTGAGGTTACGTAATATCAGATTTGGTGTATGTGAAGCTAGCGAAATGACGGCGAGCGCGTAATGAGCGTTAAATGTAGTCAAGTTCTTACATGACACGCATATCATGTAGATCAGTCTGCACGAGTCATATCTGCGTTCATAATTATTTCACGTCACATATAATAAAATTTGGTGTATTTGAATCCACCAAAACAACCACGAACGCATCATGAATTGGCACCCAGTCATGTTCTTACATGACACGCATGTCATCGTTACCATGTTTGCACCAGTCATATACCTTCGTCATCCCTTCACGTCACGCAATACCAGATTTGGTATATACAAATTTAGCGAAACGACCACGAGCGCTTCATAAGCGTGGCATGTGGTCATGTTCTTACATGACAGACATTTCATGTATATTGTGTTTGCACGAGCATGTACCTTCATCTTCCATTCACATCACGGAATATCAGACTTGGCATATATGAAGTTAGTGAAACGACCACAAGCGCTTCATAGGTGTGGCACTAGTCATGTTCTTACATGACACGCATGTCATGTATATCATGTTGGCACAAATCATATACCTTCACCTATGATTCCCGTCTCTTAATAACAAACTTTGTTTATGTCAAGCTAGCAAAACGACCGCGAGCGCGTCATGAGCAAGGCATGCAGTCATACTTGAATTGGTATAGCGCATTACGGGGAAGAAGAAACGGCCGAGCAGACCGACACAAGAGGACAGAGCGCTCTGTCCTCTTGTGTCGGTCTGCTCGGCCGTTTCTTCTTCCCCGTAATGCGCTATTCCAGTTCAAGTACGACGAACCAACTCGCCCAATCTTCAACACTCATGCAGTCATGTACTTACATTACACGCATGTCATGGTTTCCATTTGAGGGCGCTGTTTTTTTAAGTGAATCATGTCGTACCAACTCGCCCAAGCAACCACGTTAGCTACTTTCATTTCTAGTACATTGGGCTCTTTTAATTGTTTCACCGTTCAGCCATGTGTCATCGTCGCCATGTACGTCTACGCCATGTGCAATGCCCGAAAGTTCTCTTTTCTTGTCCGGTACAAACAGCTCCCCCCCGACATTCTGCTGCTCTTCGGTGGTTTCAGACCTTCGCAGGGACACGGTCTTCGGCTCCTCAAGATCCTTAGTTCTGAGTGGCACCGACAAGCTCGTTTCTACAAGCAGTGTTTGTTTCTCTCGCTACAAGGAACTACGAACTACAATAGAGGCAAGAAGTGGCTCCATCACCGTGACCTAGCTAATGCGGCGGCGGAATTTCGTTGGCGGCAGATGCTGACTGAACTACGAGCTTCGCTGCCAAAAAAGCTCTCCCCGAGCAAGAAAGGACTGCAATCTCTGGGGAATGTGACTGTGCCTGAGAATATACGCAGTGTGCTTAGCCGCGGCCCCAAGTATGCTGTTGAACCAAGAAGGTCAAGGGCAGAACTTCTGGGCCTGGTCCACAGCATTTCTAGGAAAGTACCTGCTGACTGTGCCGAGAGGTGCGTTTCTGAGGGTTGTGACATTCTTTGTAACCATAGAGCAGGCTTGACCAGGGTTCCTGTAAAGAAGGTAAAATCCTTCCTTAAGGATAAGTCATTGTCCTTAGTAGCAGCAGATAAGGAGGGAGGTTTTGTTATTATTCCGAATGAAATTTATAACAGTGTCGCTGTCTGTGTCCTTCTTTACCTTGACCCTCGTTATTGGCGCTATTTTTTTAAGTGAATCATGTCGTACCAACTCGCCCAAGCAACCACGTTAGCTACTGTCCATTAAGTTCGCTATGCAGTCATGTCGTAGCATGCATGTTCTGCGATATGTCATATGAACGAAACCACCGCAAGTGCAGCAAGACCTTGTCATGTAAATCATGACATTCATGGCATACATGTCACGACTTTCATGTCATGACTAGTCAGCTATGTTCGGCATGCAGTCATGTTAGCCACGCCAATTGTTGTATGGATTCCATTATTCAAACGACTAGGAGGGCTAAAATTTGTAGGCGGCTAGATAGATAGATTAGATAAATAGATAGATAGATAGATAGATAGATAGATAGATAGATAGAGAGAAAAAAGTGGGAACAAACAACTGATAAACACATACAAGCCAATATCACTAACATGTACAAGCTGAAAGCTAATTGAGCATATAATAAACAAAGCACTTATGAACTATCTAGAGAAAATAATCTGCTTTATCCGAACCAACACGGTTTTAGAAGGAAGCTTTCGACCACTACACAACTTTTAGAGATTACTCATGACTTTGCTTTAGCTATTGATTCTAGACTGCAAATAGATGCAATATTTATTGATTTTTCTAAGGCATTCGACCGCGTTCTGCACTCGTTGCTCATACAAAAACTTGAATCATTTGGGGTTGACTCAAAAGTCGACCATTGGATTGCCGCTTATCTTTCCAACCGCACCCAGTATGTTTCTTTTAATAATGGCGAGTCCGACCGTGCCGACGTGTTCTCTGGTGTTCCCCAACGGTCCGTTCTAGGACCAACACTCTTTCTCATATACATCAATGACATCTACACTGCTA